GCCCAAAACAACTGATAGGTTTGCCGGATTGGAGCCTAAAAACTCATGAAGTAGGCAGTCCACAGGAAGATAAGCTCAAATTGACCTTCATGCTTCTGATAATGCTTTTTCATGATGCATCTAGAGATAGTGGTTCCTTGCTGTGATGCACTCCCCATACCTATGAGATGAGAGCAAACTGCTCATGGCCATTTAGAAAGTAAGGGGAAAAAAAGAAAGAAAAAATGACTATGTTTTATGTACTTCAGAAATGTATGTTGTTCAGTCATTTCAGACTCTTGGTGACCCAATTTGGAGTTTTCTTAGGAAAGAACTGGTGTGGTTTGCTATTTCCTTCTCCAGCTCATTTTACAGATGAAGGAAACAGGGTTAGATGAATTACCTAGGGTGACACAGTTAGTAAATTTCTGAAACCAAATTTGAATTCAGGAAAATGAGTCTTCCTGACTTCAGGCCCAGAACTCTATCCACTGGGCCACCTAGCTGTCCCTGTACATACCCCTTTGTTCCTGGGAAGGAAATGTTAAAGTAATAATAAAGAAAATAAATGGAGGGAATTATTGTGAGATTTAAGATTCCATGACTCCTCCCTATGAAGGGCTTAATAAAGGACCACGAAGTGGCATTATCAGGGAGGGACCTTGCTTTATGGCAACAAGAGGAAGATTAAAGAGTACAACCAGCCCCCAAAGAATAATGGAGTGATCTCTTAGGGCCTCTTACAGGGCATAGATTTTTTATTCTACCCCCACCCCACAGAGCTCTCTGGAAATGGGGAGACTCTGGAGGGTGGGCCAGAGAACACTAAATGGGTGACAGTACAGGGCAATTTTCCCTGACCTGTGATGAGTATGGGTGATGATGCAGAAAGTATCATTGTCTTTGCTGCAGCCCTGATATACTTGGTACTTCTGTTTATGATCACCTTTTTTTTTATTAGGACCTACTATGAATTGCAAAGTCTTGGCGTCACCTTCCACACACCTGAGACTCAGTCCTTCCTAGGAATCTACCAGATTTAGTCACTCTTTCAGAGAGCTATTACATTGTTTCTATTTGCTGTATTTTATCTCTTTCTCCTTTAATGCTACCTATAAAGCATTTCTTCAATACTGGACTTCAAAGTTGCCCAGGAACAGACCTAACATCATTTAAGCATTAGAAGGTCTTCTAGAAAATATTAATGACCTCACCACCAAGGGGTGGACTATAGTGAAAGTAATACCACCTTAATCTCTTCCCCATGCAAGTTGGACTAGTCTTTCCTTAAAAGATTTTGGGACATTCCTCAAGACTTTATGGCTGATGGGACTAAAACATAATGGTGAGAGCCAATTTCACTTCCTCTTCCTTACTACAAATCAGCCAAAAGGACTTGGAGGGGTATATTATCTCCAAGGTTTTGTTGGTGGATTATGATCATAATGCAGGCAAGAAAGCTTAACTCAGCTGAATCAACTAGAGGTGTTCTCAATGTTGATCACTGCTGAATAGCCTGCTAAATCTCTTTTTGTTAACTGCTGCATGACTTAGTAGTATCCAGTTTTGTTCTAATAGTGAACCTAAACGATCAGACTGAGTCTCAGCCCAAAACAGGGAAGGATCTCAAAGACCTTTTAGTCCAACCCATACTTGAATAAAAATCTTCTCCTTAACATTCCCCACACCTCTTTAGCCTAGATCCTGAGTGATGTGTTTCTTGCCTACATGATCACTTTCCACTAACCCAGAAACATGTCATGACAAACTGACCCACAACAAAAGACGCCAATTTTTCACAATTTGTGGGCATAGTTATTTAAATTACTCCAGGCTGCTTTCCCAGATATCCAGTAGAGAGAAATAGTCAAGGGAAGTCATGTACTCCCCTAGATTTAACGCATTCAGAAAGAAGGAAAAAACCATTACAATCCCAGACACCCATGAGTAGGTGATTTGAATGTGGAGGCAGCTGAATATCAGGGATGACCTCCCTTGCTCTGCCTGAACCTAGCACAGACAGTAGCATGGGTGTCACAGATCCAACTATGTCATTCCTCTAAAGTCTTCAGTGGCTTACTGTTACCTGTAGACTAAATTACAAAACCCTCAGCTTGGCATTTAAATCCCTCTATGATACAGTTCCCATATCTCTTTCCCCTCTTATTTCATGTGGGTTTCTTTCACACACTCTGTTTTAGTCCAACTCACTTGCTCTCTGTATTCCTCTATACGACATTCTACCTCGAACCTCTGTGACTTTGCACAAATCAGTCCCTGTGTCTAGAATGCACTCCCTCCTTACTGCCCTCTCTTAAAATCCCACCTTCCTGCAAAGTACAGCTAAGTGCTACCTACCTTTGCTGGCAGCCTTTCCCACTTCCCACTGTTGTTAATACTCCTCCCTCTTAAAATTACTTTATGTAATTTATACTTGCTTCTCTGTGTGTATGTTGTTTCCTCTAAATTAGGTCTACTTGCTGTAGCTGAGGACTCTCTGGGTGAGTTCCTACATTTATTTGACTGCAGAGGCCTCTCGGAATGAATGTTTACGTTGTAACTCAGTGTTCGAACTAGGGAAGAGGGAAAGGAGAAAACCTATTCCCTAGAATTAGGTGTCCCAAAGAGATGTGTTAAAGGATATGCTCTACAGCCAACCAAGTCCTCAGGACAGTTAGAATAGGGAGGAAGATGCTACAATCATCCAAATCTCTGGCCAGATTGGGGTGATGGGATAGCAGGTCCAAAGGTATCTTCACAGCTTTCCCTTTTTGTATAGGAAAAGTCCCATCTCTGGCACGTTCGAGATGGAACCCCCTTTCCAGATGAGCTAGTATTGTGGCTTGTGGGGAGCAAGGTATTATTTGCTACCCCCATTTCCAGTTCTAGGATCTTTGAGCACAGTAGCTGGTTGAGGGATAAGAAGTGTATGAAACTGGACTATTGCCCAATTACCCACAGTAGGATAATAAGAGTAATAGGAAGGATCTTATCTATGATTATAGGTGCTAAAGAGCTGTTTGGGCCCACACATATCTATGCAGTTTGGGGAAATGGCTCTTTCAGGACTGAGATCAAATCCCACCTTCTGCAGAAATCATACCCAGTCCCCTCCAACTATTAATCCCTTCCCTTTTGGATTATCTCCCTTCTCTCTGTATATATCTTGTATGAACCCACTTATTTGCACACTGGCTCCCCCGTTTGAGCGTGAGCTCTTGAGGACAGGGACTGTGAAGGGGGGTGGGGGGCATGGAAGGGGGTGTCCACCTTTCTTTGTTTCCCCAGCACTTAACACAGGGCCTAGCATAAAAGTATGCACTTAAAAAATGCTTGTCGACTAACTTACATGCCCCAGAGTGAGAAAGAATAACACTCTAAGACATAAATATATCCATATAAGTATCATACAAAGAATCATAGAAACCACACACCAGACACTCTGAAATTGATCATGGCTGTCACAATTTAAATACCTCCCAGCAGAGCAAACAGTAAGCTCTATGCGGGCAGGTGCTGTTTCATTTTTGTCTTTGCATGTGCCAACAACTTTCACATGCCTGACTTGCCATAGAAATTTGCTGAACTGAAATGAATCCTCAGACTTCCCAGGCTTCATGAACTGTCTGTCAGCAATTCCCCCTCCCCACGCCATAATTGCCTGGGGGGATGATCACTATTTCTGTGGAGTAAGTGCCTTGCAGGAACCTACCAGACTTACAGGCAAGGTCTCAGATCAGAGACAAACTATCAGCCACAGGAATGGTGCACGTGTGCGCACACATACACACACACACACACACACACACACACACACACACACACAGGAAAAGGGGGAAGAGTGACCAAAAAAAGAGGAAGCTGAGCAAGATATGTGCAGGGGTTGTGGATAGGGGTGGGAAAACATATGAATGCATTCCTCTATGGCATCCAGGTTTACATGTTGACATGAGCATATTTAGGTGGCTATATGGCATGTTTCTGCAGATGCATGCGTTACATGAGTAGGTCTGCTCAGCAGGCAGAGACCAGGTCAAAAGCTGCAGAGAGTGAACAGGTGCCCAGAACATGGCACCCAGCCAACACACCTGCAGGGTGGAGGCTTCATGCAAGGTTAATAATGGAGAGCCAGCAGTTAGACAGGTACTGGTGATCACAAGCAAATCATAAACCACAAATCCATAAAGAAAGAAGGCTTCCTGTAATACAATTAGCAGGAAATCTAAGCCTTTTATAGTCAATATTCTTCCCCACTCTCCAGGGTTAATTATGGTACACATAATAGGTCCTCAATAAAAGATTGCTGAATTGACTGAGGGGCAGGGATCATCCCCATTTTCCATGACAAATCTAAAGGACAAAGAGACTAAATGTTTTGTCCACAGTCACACAGGAATTCAGTATTTCAGATGCAATCTTATTTTTATGTACTAGAAATACAGAAATGCACACAATTTTAGTTTTGTTTTGTTTTTTTGGTATTTTAAGAATTTTCAAAATTAAATATTAAAAACATCATAAAGGAAGATGAGAACTGACCTTACTAGGGCTCTAGGACTATATGTTCCTGTCTCCCTAAAATGAGCTCTGTTTCTGAGGACCACTAGGAAGAAATGAGTATTCCCAAACAACCACACATACTCTTCCTCTCCATCCAACCTATATTATGGTCACTAGCATCTCTAGAAATTTCTTGGTCCTCACTCCATATCTGTTACCAGCCTCTGCCATTCATGGTCCTGAACACTTTCCTTTGGGATAATCTTTGCTTTAATAATTTACTTTGTGACCAATAAATTATAGCTACCTTAAACAATACAAATGCTATAAGCATTAATGTTATTTTTTTTCAGTGGGTTACAGTGTAATATGGGGCAAGATCCTTCTTATGTGACCTCAGGGTTACCTCTAACACAAACAGCCCCAGCTATGAAGAGGAAGAATGTCTCTCACTTTTTGGCCCCTTTCCTCCACCCTTAAGCCCTATCCCCGAGGTAAACGAGAATCGGATTTTCCCATCCCTATTTGTTTTTGTTGACCTTGGAGCCATCTTTTTTCCCCAAAGAGGGTACTATGGACTCTATTTCCACTACTGGATCCACAACCATCTCTGATTTTGCCTCTTCTGTTTCTGGTGTTGACCACATCTTTGGATTAATCCCTAATCTTCTCCTTGTTAGGAGAATTTCAGTGACATCTGGATCAGAGGGCAAAATCCCAAAGGTTTTGTAGTTGAAGAAGGAGACAAGCCCTAAAGAAGGAAGAAAAAGTCAGTGTAAGGTTCAGGTGGTGGGTTGTATTCAGTATTAGTTATAGATGAAATACAAGGAACTCCACAGGGCCTCTGGACTATTTTGCTGTCATGAAATTTTGTTCATTGCTCGGAATTGTGTGCCCAACCTGCAGGATCTAAAGATGAAATACTGATAATGGTCTCTGCCTGTCTGTTAGTGAATTAGCAAGTGTGACCACTTCTGTGCTTTCTCTGAGGGAAGGCGAATACCTCAGAAAATGCTCCCAGCTACCCACTCATCCACAAAGCCAGGAGGCTGATCATCCTCACAAGCCAATTTCTATAGTGGTCTCTCCCACTGAGGATAAGTGCCCAGTTCACTTCTGTGATGTCATGGACCCCAGGAGAAGGTGAAGCATCCCAGAGAAAAGGACTCACTTAGCACTGGACTTCTACACCAAAAAAAAAACAAAAAACAAAAACAAAAACAAACAAAAAAAACACAGGGAACCATACATAAAACTCACCCACTAGATAAGAGACTGAGCAAAACCCAATCCAACCCAAGGCATGGAAGCACCTCTGCTCCCTCAGCACCATCTTAACCTAATTCACCCCAGTGATGCTGTAATTATATTGGTTCTCCGGGGCACATGGCTGGTTTTGAAAATCACCATCACCAGTAGAATTTTGGAACTGCTTCTGAGTTTGTTTTTCAATCATTTTCAGTCACGCTCAACTCTTTGTGACCCCATTTGGGGTTTCCTTGGCACAGAGAATGAAGTGGTTTGCCATTTCTTTCTCCAGCTCATTTTACAGATGAAGAAACTGAGGCAAACAGGGTTAAGTGACTTGCCCAGGGTCACACAGGTAGTGTCAGAGACCAGATTTGAACTCAGGAAGATGAGTTTTCATGACTCCCAGGCTCAGCGCTCTATCCACTGTGCCACCTCGCTGCCCAGAATGTAGTAGCATATATGAAACTGATGTTTAATACGGGAAGGATATAAAATAATAACTGCTCTCTTTAGTAGAACAAAAGAGCTGTGAAGAGTGGAGACACTTGCTGCCTATACACAAACAGAGCTTTTCATTACAGAAACCATTGCACTGGCAGAATTCATGGGAAGCAAAAAAGGAGGAGGCGGGGTACAAGGGAAAGGATGCTGGATTTGTAGTCAAGGACTTGCCTTCAATCTCAGCTCTGTGGCTCAACGCCCCATGTGACCTTGGACAAGTCACTAAATCTCTGTTTGCTCTTATATAAACAAAATGGGCAGCCAAGATGGCCTCCAAAGTCTCTTCTCACTTGGAATCTAGAACTCTTTTTTTGTAAAGGATCATTTGCTAACATGAAAATAGTTTGTGATACAAAGCACTTGTGGATCACAGGGCTTTTTTCCCTGCACAGCAGGAAGACCCAGAGAGGACCATCCCTCAGGACAGTGGATTTAGCACCCCTCAGGACAGTGGATTTAGCACTAGGCATCTAGTCCAACTCTCATTTTAGAGATGAGGAAACCGAGGCCCATGAGGTCACATAGGTGCCAGTGGTCGAGCTGGGATTCTCTACCTCTAAATGCAGTAATCTCCCAAGCTGCCTCCTGTCTCTGGGCTCTATCTTTCCCTTCCTCTTCCTTTGCCACTACACGGTGTAGGTCTAACTCACCAACCACTACATAAAAGAAGCTACCCCACCAGTTGAAGTAGAAAATCCACAAGTAAGATGATTCCATGTTGTAGCTAGTGTACTTTTTGACTTGCATCAGAAAAAGCACAAGGCAGATGAGCAAGCTGGCTCCTAGGAGGAAAAGCAGAGAGGATTACCTTTTGGAGCTACTGTCCTGTCCTCTCTCATACCTTCCTCCTTTCCCCTCCCCCCCACCATCCCCTACTTCTTCCAGATTGTCTGTGTCCCACACTAGGGGTTAGCCACATAGAAAAAGCCAACAGGACCAGAAGGCATAGAGGTATAGCAAGAAGCAGTGATATTGGACTTGGAGATGATCAAATCTGAGTTCCAGCGCAGCTCTCTGCAACCTACTTATGACCTTGGGTAAGTCAGCTGTCCTTTGAGGACCTCATTTACTCGGCTCTAAAGCAAGGGAAGCAATACCTGCTCTGCTTACCTCATGGTTTGTCTGCTGTAAAAGTGCTCTGTCAACTTAAAACACTTTACAAATGGAAGGGATTCTTATTATGGTGGCAGGGCAAATCTCTGGTCTAAGGAAGCACAATGATAAGTCCTCTGGCATCGTGGAGCTATGGAATGTCAGAGCTGGGAGGGACCACAGAGACTAGTGCCACTTCTTCACTTTACAATTGAGGAAATTGAGGCTCAGAGGAACTAAGTGATTTGCTCAGATAATTTACAGCATAGTTGAAACTACAGCATAGATTTCCTGACTCTTAGCCCAGTGCTTTTTCTCCTGTGTTATTATTCTTCAGGGAAACTTCCCTGCCTATCACTAGCAATGGCCCACCAGGAGCTTGAAATTTCACCACTAGAATTTCATTCTTTTGGAATGAACACTGCCCTCTTCAGGCTCCTGTTTTGCCATTCCAATGTCTCCCTGCTCTAAACCGGGGCTGGGTAACCCTTCAATGTGAATGAGTTTGTTAGAGGGATGTGGGGCCTAGAAAAGGCAGTTGTGAAAAAGAGGGGGGTAGAAAGAAGGAACTAGGTTCAAGGAAGAGCGTCAGAGGCGAACTCTGAGGACTTCACAGTTTTGCCAGAGTCTTAGCCAGCTAGCATGGGTCTGTACCTGAAGTCAAAGAGAGAATGGCTACCCCCTGGTCCAAGTGAGTACTAGGCTCTTTCCTGTCCCGGCAGGACCTGATGACCCAGGCAAGGATAATGAAAGCAGTGAAGACAGAGAGGAGAAAGAAGATCCTGGAGATCTGAAGGTAGTCTAAAGGGTGAAGCAGAAAAGCAAGAGGTCAGGCTAGGGACTAGGGACAAGACACAGGAGACAGCCCCCCACTCCCACCCCAAGGATGTTCAGGGACTAGGGAAGAGAAGTCCAAATAAGGGCAGAGGCAGGACCAACTACACTCATAACCAGAGTAGGTGGCCCCCCATTCTAATTTCAGGAACATCAGCAAAGTTTTTTAGCATTCTCCCAAATGCTCATTAATGCCAAAAAATGGAGAACAGTGCCTTCCTTTCATTCACAATGCAAGAAGAGGATAAAAGCATGAATACCTCTGGGATGGGAAACAGACTGATATAGACTCGCATTACAGCATATGGGTATGACTATAAAATAAGGAGACTGGCATTTCAGTGAGCCTGACAGAACAAGCCTGGCCCTCAACAAGAACTGACTTTGGCTGGCACAAGCTGGGCACAGCATCATCCAATTAGGCTGCCATCTTTGAAATATCTGGGGAACTAACTCTGTAATTATATAAAGGCAATTTGAATTGCCTTTAAAGTCTATGACACTGTTCGAAATCTCAGAGTCACAAATATTCAAAGCATGGATTTAATTTTTAGAAATGTCCCTAAGTCAGTAAGCACACATATTTAGGATTAGGGTTTTTGGTGAGGTGATTAAGGTAACCAAGCAGGGTAATTTCATTTTTGGTCTAAAAATTGTTTCACAGAAATTTCACCGTGGGCTAGAAACATTATCATAGTGAAGAAGTCAACCTCTAGAACACCCTTCTGTGAGCCACAGAAATCAATTAAACACTAGGTTCTAGGGATACGAAAATGAAAAACGATGCAATCTGTGCCTAGTCCTCAAGCATCATACAATCCAGTTGTAGGGAAGATGGGGGAGGGATGCAGTGGGGAATAAGACACACAAATAAAACAAGTCAGAATGACACAAGTGCCTAGGAGGAGTTAAGGAAAGTGATATCTCTTTAAGGATATTTTGTCACTTGGCGGAGGGAGGGATCACTGCTAGCAGGGATATCAGGGAAGGTTTCATAGAGGAAATGAGATCTGAGTTTGACCAAGCCAAGATGTCAGAATAGGAATGTGTGGGGTACAGAGACCCTTACCAATGAATCGGAGACTCAGAGATATTAGCAAAAAGAATAGTTCATTTATTGGCTTTCTCATGAGAAAGGACACACCCAGCATCGCTCAAGATGGCTCCAGCCAGGGTGTGCAAGGGAATGAAGCTCAAAGCCAGTTTACGTAGACCCTAATGCGGAACCCCCACCCACCCACTAGCTCCTCTTCCCATTGGCTGGGCTTCAGAGCTCACAGTCTAATCGCAGAAACTTTTCCCCAGCCACAAGGTTGCAAAAAAGGCGCAAAACAAGGAACTGTTGGTTCAGAAGGAAAGTAAGATAAAAGGAGCGGAGAGCCGCCAAGTCTGGACAAACAAGATACTTTCAGGGACATCGCCTGATGTACTCTCTAATCTTGAGGAACGTTCTGTTTCTTTTAGCAAGGCAGTTTCTGGGAACTCTATGAGGAGTGTTGTCTCAGCAAGGCCAAGTCCTATCCTTCCCTGAGGCAGCTTCACTATTTCAGCATCCCACTCAATCCCTCCTATTTTTAACCTTTGAAGACCCCTCACACCATTCTTGGTAAACCTCATTTACCAAGTCCTCATCTCCCTTTGGTTCCCGACGTTCTTCTTGCTCAAGGGGAACCCATCCCTGACCTTTAAGTGTCATTAGCCTTACTCCACTCTTTCCTTTAAACCTAATCATTTTGGATATTACATCCTGGGCTACTCGGGTTATGAGCTGTATCACGCAGGGAAGACAAACGGACAACAATATGATTCCACAAAGTGCTATTAAAAGGAACCACAGAATCTGCTTCTACCAAGAACCCCCGAACCAGGACCACCAAGAAGTATTGAAAGGGGAGGTCCAGGTTTGTAGTGGTACATGTGCCAGTTTTCTAATGTTGCTAGTAATATCTTTCACTATTTTTCCGTTGTCATCAATTATCATACAACAATTTGACAAATTTAGTTTTCCACAGACACCTCCCTCTTCTGCTAAGAGGTAATCCAGTACTAATCTATGTTGCAGAACTGCTTCCCTGCTTTGGGTGGCTTAATCTGCTAACCAATCCTAAGTCTTTGTTGTCTGATTCATTATTATTTCCACTACAGCCTGTAATCTAATGAATCTGTTAAGGACATATACCGTCCTGCGCCCAAGTAGCCGGACCATAAGTCTGTATTATCCTTTCAGGGGGGCCAAGTATCACCCCACCCATTGGCGTCTCCTGTGCTGGTGATGGAGGTATCAACACTCCTACTTCTGTCCGAACTTTACTCCTAAGAAACCTCCCATCTGCCCTGATGAAAAGAAAAACTTCGATCGGACAAGCCCGATGTAACAATTCCCTGTCCAATCTGTGGGTAAATGGGTGTAGAGCTATCCCAGTTTTGCGGGGTCCCTCCATCCAAGGGGTTGGTGATTTAGCCAGTGTCTAGAACTTGACCGATTCCAGGTCCAAGGGGTGATGCGTTGTGGTCTCCAACAGAGGTTGGCACACAGCCTGAGCAGTCATCTGGAAATGGAGAGCAGTAAGCCTACAGGAGACAAATCTGGCAAGGAGATTAAACAGAAAAGGGCCAAAAAGAAGTAAAAGGAATATACTAAGGTTTTCATGGATGTCTCACATCCAGGTGACTTTCTCTAGTCCTATTGAGCTCCACCTATCAAGAGTCATTAATTTCTGATTATCCAGGACCACGTTTGCCAGGGAATCCAGAGGTTGCTGAATGTCCTGGAGACTATAAGCTGTATTCTTTGCCAATTGGTGGATGATCCATTGTGCTCATGTCTTTTACTGACCACTTGCTCTGATCAGAGAAACCTACTATAAAAGAAAAAGGCAGGGACATGTGTTCAAACATGCTCTGTTTGAATTCAGTTAAGAGTCACAGTTCTCCAATCATGCAGTATCAATTCCACATCATAGCCAGACTCAGGAATAGTCAGGTGGGAAATGTTCCTTCTCAAAGGAACATAATGGGGAAACTGAGCCAGGAGGATCCCATCCTAGATTGAGACTAAGATTGTCCTCACAGTTTTTTTTCCCAAATGCAGACCTTCACCTGTTAACAATATAGGATCACATTCCCTCTGAGTAGCTTGTGGCATTTGTCTCAGACACCGATTTAATGCAGACAACCATACCCAAATTCAAACTCAAAACAAAATTAGCTATAGTCCCAAGAGCCTGTCACCTCAAACATCAAGTTTTACTAATCACAGCTTAAAGCCGGATTCAGTTAATTTTACTCTCATGGAGTTGCAATGAGCAATAAAGATTTACCGGGACTCACATACATAAGAGATTTCACTTTACATCCTTCCTTGTCCTGGTGTAAAAGCCAATTATTAGAAATCATTTCTATCTATTGTACATAACCTTGCAACTTCTCAGCAAGCCAAGTTCATTGTTTAGGAACTCCATAACCCAAACAAGTTCTTTTCTCAAGGCAGATGACCTCGCCCACACAGATGTTTTCCAGGGACTTTGGCAAGTTTACAAAATAAGAGGAATTGCCTTGTACCCCAGGGAGGGGCTGATCCTGGTGCCCCTGCCTGATGACCCCCATATCCCAAGATGGACTGTTTTGAATAGGCAGATGCAATCTGGATAAGGCTTTTACCCAAACCCCTCCTTTTCACACACAGTAATCAATTAACAATTCTAGGTTTTAACATTAAAACAGTAACTTCAAATAACTTAGTTAACAATCTTATAACTTTCATAAGTGATAGTCAAATTGTTTCAGCTATAACCCCTTCATTAATTATAGGTAAAGGTGGAAATACCTGATTTTCTAAATGGTAAGCTTATAAGACAGGGTTAGCAGGGCTGACAAAGTAATATAACTGGTTTTACACAATTTTTCCACTGTCCTTTAGTTTCCTTCAGTTCACATTTTAATAACATCCAAATTATGAAAAGCTGTTTGACATAACTGATACAAAAGTTTTCCAATTTGAAACACTACTAGGTGTTTAAAACTTGAAACAAACACATTACCAATCAGGTGACTCTAATTCTGTTGAATGCATTTCCAAATTTCCTTACATAGAAAATCGGGCATCTCTTCACTATTGGCATTGTATACTGGTCACATCTAATTAAGGGAACTAATAATAATAATTAACATTTATAGTGTCTGCCCTCTGCCAGACATTGTGCTAGGCACCTTCCAATCATGTGAGATAAACTGAGATAACTTGCTTAATGTCACCCAGTTAACAAATTTCAGATCCATTCATTTTCCCAATTTCATTTGAACATCAATTGTACTTCCATATTATCACATATAGAAATCATCGCTCTTATTACTCTTAGCACCTTCAACAACTACATTAAATAATAGTGCCACTTCTAACATATGCCATAAGCATTCTGCAGTCATCATTCTTCCTTTTTTTTCCATAATAACCATTATTTTTATTTTCTTTATAGAACAGTAAATTTAAATCCAATCAGATCCTAATTTATAATCGCTAATGATAAACATTTAAAAAACATTTGTTTTAAATCCAATACTCTTGCCCCCTTAAAAGGAAATATTTTCCACAAATTTATATATCCCCTTAAAAAGATATGTGTAAATAATTCCTGCTCTAAACAGTTATCTTCCTTTTTCTTTCCTATTTTCTTAAGGGAGCAAAGAAAAAAGTCCCCAGTCCTTTTTAGCAGCTTATCAGATAGAGCCACCTTCCTGAGAATCTCAGGCTTCAGCAATTTGAATCAATGTTAACTGGATGTCATCAATTTTCTCCCCTTAGGCAGAAAGCCTCTAGAGTTTCAATAAGTAATTGAACAGCCCAGTTTATGTAACAATCTCCAATCACAATGAGCTGCAAAATTTTCATTTTCAATTCTTCTACCCAAAGCAGAGTCAAACTTCCTCACATTTTTAAAACCCCCTGAAGTCACCCAGAACCAATATCC